TTACGTGACACAGCGAATATTTTAAAGTTCTGAAAATTGTGCTTTCACTTGCAGAAGGTGACACATTCAAAGCCACATTGCGCTAAAATTTATGATATTTCCAATTTATTTAAATGGTCCAAATGGTTGTGCGGTACGCGCATCCATTCTCTGCAGCTAATAAGCAAAAATACCACGCATTTCCATAATAAGACCATTTTTAGCGGCACTTTTGTTTGGGTTTCTTTTTATCATGAATCTTTTTCGAATGTTTTCGTTAGACTAAATAAAGCCAGAATATTATAAAGGTTCAGTCTATGCCATACAATACAACCATTGATGCAATATTCCCTCCCTCATTGTTGGTGCACATACAAAAAAAAGTTCAACACGAATATTGAATGTTAAACATGGTACAACATGCGCCAATAAACAATCGGAAAAAAGTTGCAAGCCATCGAAACGAAGAAGAAGAGGCGAAAAAAGCACCAAACGAGTTGATTTTTTCTCAACAATATTTGGGCCGAAAACAAAACATGTTCAAAGAATAAATTAAACATAAAACATCGAATAACATTGGAACGAAAAATGTTCGATCCATTGTTATTTCACCATTCTTCGGTTTTCGGCATAAAAACCGCACAACAAAAACAAATTATGCACGAAAAAAAAAAATTGAACCGTAAAATGTTCGCGTGAAAAAGTCCAACTTTTAATTTGACTGTTTTGAGCGAGAAAAAATGACCTTACTCGACGGTTTTGTTTTTCCTATTATTTATAGATACACATGCACCGTACGGTCCCATAAATTGTTGGCTTTGTGAAATTTAAGATGGGATAAAGAACAAAGCAATAACATTCTTTGCAAAAGATTCGCCGAGTTTTGACTTCAATTCATTATGTTTGAAGCGCTCACTTTGCGTACCTCAAATTGTTCGGTTTTTTTTTTGTTTCTTAGAGAATCGGCTCTCTTTTTTTCGGTCTCATACACCTTCATAATAATGAGTGTTATCAAAGCAATCGTTTGTCAATAGTACCCCCAGTCAAATTAAAGCCAATGAACCCGACCAACAAATACTTGAAATTGGATTTCAATTTAACTGAAGAACATCGTCTGAATATTCATTATTCTTGCGTCACATTTTTTGATTGTGGGCACATTTTTCTATTTTCGGAAGAGTCTCATTCTTTTGATACGACAAAAAATTTAAAACTCTTACAACAAACCAAGCCAATGAATCGTTCTATTCTGACATGGAAGGAAAAAAGGACACAAACATGAAAGACTAAAAGTTTCTCACAGCTCAATGATAAACGATCCACAGTGTTGCAAATTCTTTGTTATTCTTTTGCGTTATATTCTTGGTTATATTGAATTTATGTTTTGGGTTTTGCATAAAATCGACACTCACAGGGTGTGTGTGTAAAAGCTGACACCGCTCAAGTTGTCAGAAAACATTTGAAAACTCTTTCAAAGATTGAATCTCAATCGATACACAAATTAGAAATGGTTTACACTCAGTTGGCAAGAGAGTTTTTCATTGAAAAAAAAAAAAAACACCCAGTGAATAGGTGAGCAATATAAATGAAAAATGTAACACTGTTCACGCCCATCATTCGAACGAATGGTGACAATTTCATCGACTAAAGTACTTTCTGCCTGAAGAAAAATGTCATCACTTTGAAAAGGGTCTGGTTGCATTAGTTTTTACAGTTTTAAAACCACACAGGAAAACACATACACCAGAGTGACAACAGCAAAAACACTAGCGGCGACAACTTTAACCTGAATCCTATACACATAGTTACATAGAAAAAAAGACAACATCACAACATTCTAAAAAAATGCAGCTTTCAACTAACATACTCTTCAAAAAAAATTGTAACAAAGAGCAAAAAGCACACGTATACACAACATCGATGTTGAACAATTTCATCAGAAAACTCAAATTAAAATGGAACAATGTATTTAGTTTCTTCTCTTCATTTTGTTGAATATTCATAGTATTAGATCGACACTGTAATTTCGGAGATGCTTTAATTAAAGTTGCATTGAAATGGTTTTTATTTCACGTGTATCAATTTTTTCGGTTTGTCGAAAATATTTTAATTAATATAGACCAGTAACATTCGTCGTCAGTGGATCTACATTGTACATATCTAGTAATGAATGTGTATGTAAATGTTTGACTTCGGTAAATCTGCTCATTATTAATTTTGTAGTTTAAAACATGTTCCTTAAAAGCGGATTTTCATAAATATACGGAACCATATGACGTGGAACATTTTGTAAAAATACAATGAAAACGAGGATGGAGCTTTAATGACATTAAAAAGTTTTGTCACTAATGAACTACTTTAAATGCTGTTAATCGTAATGCAATTTATTAAAAATGAAAATTTCTTTACTTTTTCTTTCGCTTTCTGTTTGTATATTGTTTCGATGTGACTTACTTTAGTTACCGTAAAAAAAGTAGCAATTTCTGTTAAGTTAATAAGTTAAGAAGCTTTGTTATTTCTCTTATGAAATGAATTCTTCTCTAGACGTGGTTACCTCTCATTCGCTGACTCTAAGTTGTTTCCTACGCAAACTAAAGATTTATTTGTACTTTGCATAGGTTTATATAATTTATATCAACGCAATCAATGTTGTGCACCAGTATAAAATCTATTTATGGTAACATATGAAAAATGTCATTCAATATTTAGTTTGTGTTTTGCTCTATGTTTTCCATATTGGCTGTGTGTTTCACTCTTTATCTCCGTGTTTCGATTGTTCTTGAATATACATTGCCAAAACTAATATCCCGTAACAAGCATTTGGGTGAAATTCAACAACCAAATCCAGCGCATTTACACCGATGAACTTGCTCCTCCACCTAAAAGCCATATATATTTTGTAGTGTGCAACCATCAAACCCATATCAAATTGTCAACGAATTTTCAATGAGTGTAAAACATATGGAACATAGTATTCGTATCACTCCTAGTTTCACTCAAAATGCCATAAACGATGCAGATCAAATGTGAGCAAATAACAAAATAAGTTTTATGTCATTTAAATTTTGGAACAAATGAAACCCTAAGGGTTCGGAACTTTAAAAAAAAAACATCAAATAAATACAGTTTTGTATGAATTTCGTATATAGCGACAAATATTAGAAATATTCGTGATTATCGTAGTTTTTTGTAATTATACAGCAACGATTTGAAACACACAGACAACCCAAAATAAAATTAATAATCATGTTATCATTGCATAAAAACAATTTTCAGGCTAAAAATTTATATTTCTTTAACAAAAAAAATAATTTAGGTGAAGAACTTCAAAAGTGTGTAATTAATATTCTTATAGTAAAAAATTTTGATTTTACAAATGACGTTCCACTAAATGACATGCACCATTTGCCGCCATTTTGCGTATTTACGATAATCAGGTATAGTGATTTTATTCACGAATATTCACAGAAAGTAAAGTTATTGTTCACTCTACTCACAATGGACCAATATTCGTGAATATGCATGGTTTTTCACGAAAAGAAAATACTTCCGAGCCCCTAGATGAAACCAAAATTTCAACAAACTTCAAATATCACTTCGCTTATTATTATTTTTGCAAAAACTTCAGTTATTTGTCGAAAAAATGTGGAATGTTACTACTTTTTCTCCCCCCTTCCAAACGAACTTATTAAGGATGCAAAAATGTTAAGAATGATTTCGCAAAAATGTTTGTTCTTGTTTCGATTTTTATTATAATAAATTCTTGACATAGAAGAAATTATTTTTATAAATGTTATTCGGATTAATTTGGAATGTGGTAACCGGAGTAAATGAAGGTGCAACGGATATTCTTCGTAAATGATATGCCAAAATTGGGTCAAAATTACTTATGGTGTATTTTTCCCAGACATTGACCGTGAAACTTGTCATTTGAACATTCAAACACAACGACATTTACAACATTCAGTCTGTGAACTCTTTTGGTGACAGTTTTACATCAAAAACAAAAAAAAAAGTGTGCTGTGATTTTCAATTGAGTACATATAGATTTGAGATGTATTTTAAAATACAATTTCGTTTTCAATTTAATAAGTATTATAATTATAAATGAGTTTAAAATCTAAGTTAAACAAGTGAAAAGTATTGAATTTGATGAAAAATGTACGTTCTTCTTGTTCTGCTTACGGCACCGCGTTCATATTGTATTGTACCCGAAGCATACATTTATGGACTTTACTTTTATATTAAACTTTATTCTGTTTAGTTCGCCAAAAGATAGAGTGAGGACGTTAGTATGACAGATTTCATATAAAAAAGCTACTGTATTAGAGATCTTTGTCACACTGAATCGTTTCTGTTCAGACTGATTTATTTCAGTTTAGAATTGACACGATCCGCAGATGGTTTAAATTCTTTCAAGCTGCGCTGATGAGCCGTAAACGGCGAAATCGGTCATTTCTGTTCAGTTGTGATATTTCAAGATTTTGATTTTTTCTAATTGTTTCAAGTGTAAAGTGTGTTTGATTTTCGATTGCATTGTTTACAACAACTTCATCGTTGAAAAGTAACGGCTTATCCGTAGTAAAGAAACATAATGTTTCAAAAAACCTAATTTAATTTTATTTACTGAATGATGATTTCGACAACGATGGCGGAGAAATCGTGGAAGATAGTACTTTAAATGAAGAAAGCGTGAATGATGAAGACGGAATCGATGGAGATGATGTCAATTCAAATGATGCATCTATTCAAAACCCAAATGAACAGGAAAATTTGGATGAAAACAATGCAAGTGCATCGGTAGTCTACCGCAAAAATATTTCTTTTCAACATGACTAAAAAACACAACCGCACAACCTAAGCCGCCCGTTTCTGGTAGATAAATACGTAATGGATACAACTTATATTAACCAGAATCTTTAAAATAAATGCTCTTTTAAAAAAAACGCTAATTTTTTATAAATTTATTTGCGCTTCCAGTAAAATACTCAATAAATGCAGAAATGGAAAACGTATGAATATCATATGTAAAGACGGAAAATGTCTTTTATTGAAATATTTGTAGTGACAATAAATTTTTAAAGAGCAATTGTGGTGTGTTTTGCAAACGCATTTTCTCATCATAATTCTGCTAAATGTTCATTACCACTATCGACCGCATCATAGTTGGCATTGTAATAATCATCTACGGACACGTATCTTGCGCCACCATAGAAATCAATCAAGACAATAAATTCAATCTGCAATTTACAAAAATAGAAATTGTGTTGTTTTCGCCAATTAACCGATGCTGGATGACGATCGGTAAAGTATTCATCGGCATTGGCATATTCATCACTGTTCTCATTTAATCGTTCAACTTTGCCTGTAAGAATGGCACGTGCACATTTCGGTTCTTGTGTATCAAGACCCGAATTTAAACAGGACAAATCTTGATCTTCCGTAAACATAGCGGTGCATTTATTAACTTGATTTATATCTTTGCCCGTTAAATCCAAATCGGTTAACAAAAAATAAATGTGACCCGTTGATTTTCCAGTTACAGCACTATCGGCAATCGATTTAATGTTCACCATTGGGAAGCCTTGAATTGGTGACACCGTTGATATTGTTCCCATTGATGTCCAATTTGATTTATGAACCAAATAACGTACCATTTTTGCATACTCGGTATAAGGTGGCCGATTCGATAAATTCACTTGACCAACGCACTTCCCAATCAACGTGATTGACACAATTAACACGAACAAATTGAAAATACTTTGATTCGGTATCATTATCTATTCTTTGCTTTTGTTGATGATTTACACGGCGTCTTTTATACAAAATGTATATTCTTCTCTTCTGAAAAATTGTTAAAATTTCGTATTGCGTTTTTTAAAAAAAAATTGTTTAAAATTTTTTTAAAATAAAATATTTTAATTTAATAAAAATTGAAGTATTGTATGAACGTCAACAAATGAACTCAAAATGAATGTGTGAAATTAATTTGAACAAAATATAATCTTGAGTGTTTTGTTTATAATATGGCCAAAAGACATTTTCGTACAATTGAGTTTAAGTGCCTTATACAAAGAGTAGTAACCAGCCGGTGTATATTTGTATGAGATTGGAGACTTTTTTTTGCGAATCTCGCTAATGAGCGCCATCTGATTTTAGTGTGAATTAGATGCAAAAACTGAATTTAATTCTGTAGCATTGAAATGAAAAAGTGAAAAAACAACAACAATAGCACGGCCACACAGAGCTGTACATCTATGCGTGCTGATGCATACATACACATATACGCTTTCTTCATTCTTTCATTCCATTGCTATACGTATCTCACTGGTTAACAGATCTATGTAGCCATGTTACTGTTGTTGTTTTTTTTCTCTTTTTCGATTCAATTCATTGTAACTAAATTGAGTTCAACTATGGAATACAAGATGGCACAGATGAGGGGAATTCGCATTTTGTCTCTTCATAGGCTTAGCCGGTTGGTAGTAACACTTTGCGATGTGCTGCAGATGTGCTGCAACCTAGCAATAATATGCGTTATTCCATATAAACACGCTGTTCTCTTATTTCTTAAGAATTTTTATTTGTACTTGTTCTTATGGAGCTGAACCTGTTAATGTTAGATGGCAGCACCTCTACAGTTTCAATTTCATTTACATTGTCTCTGATATACTGTTCGCACTCGTTGACCCTATATATCATTCGATATCCGTCATAGGTGTTGACAATTTTTTTTAAAGGGATATCAAAATTCCGTAGGGGATCCGCAAGAATTTTTCTGTTCCAAAAACCCTAGGAAATCGCAAAAATTTTAAATGTCGTGCAAAATCCCTAGCTAATGGAAAAAATTTCATCTTATCTATCTTTTTTATGATTCTTATTCACGGGCAATCGAAACATGTTTATTATATTTCGTCACTCTTTATTCTCATTACATTTATTTTTTTTCTGTCAAACACAAATTATTACTACTCTATTTTGCGTTGGTGTCATTCTCTTTGGCAATTTTGACATTGACGTGCACAATAATTATCTTTTTATTCCATTTCTTTATTACATTTTATGAATTTATTACATGATGCCAAAGTACATTCTATCTTTTATATCATTGTTACTCTTCTATACGCTTATCGTATTTTGAACATGTTTTTTATATGTCGAGTTCAAAAAAAAACAAGTAGAAGCTCACTTCGCACATTATAATATTGATTATTTGTGTTTTTTTACCCAAATTGGAGGTGAAATTGACCAAAGTTTCAGCCACTTCCATCGTCGAATTAGAATGAAATTCAGGTGATATTTAACTGTGCGCCAAATTAAATTTATTTTTATTGAATAATATTAGAATATTTGCATATAAATCAACATCAGTATTGATGTTAAAATCATATAAAATTTTCTTTTAATTTTGTGTATGCGTATATTTGTAGCAACACTTTGCAGAATCACAATCAAATGTCATAAAATCAAAATGTACACTATTTCTATCTTCAATAGTGTTGTTCTAATGAGCACATTTCGCAAAATAGCTTTTCGTGATTCGAAGAATTTAAGCATAAGAAATGGAATGCTGTATATTCAGAGAATACAGAAAAAGCAAAGAATTCATCGACATCATGGCATATTTTCGATGCAAGAACTTCAAATGAGAACTTTACTTTTACAAAAATATTTATGAAAAGGCATAAGTGAGAAATTAATGCCGCTGAGACGACAAGAGAAGGGATTATATTGCGATTGTGTAATGTAACACATTTGATCAAATACTCGATGCATTGAGATGAACATAACCTAAGAGAGAAAGCTAAGCCCACAATATAGCTATGAATACTGCTTCCATAAACCTAAATTAATGACATTATCATTCTTCGGTGCTAAGTCCCAGTTTCGTTTATGACAAGTGAACCAAGGGGACATTTTTCAACAAAATGAACAATACATGAGATAACGGAAAATAGTTGTTATTTCTTTACTCCATTGCGTTGATTTGTTTCTATGAAAGTACTACATTCTTTGAAAATTGCCATATGCTTGGAATGGATAAACAATGGATTTTTCTCTTGAGACAATTCATATTTCTCATAAAATGTGTTATATATAGGACCATACATGAGAGTGTGCATGCGAGAGAGAGAGAGATAGAGGGAGAGTGAATGAATAAATGACCGAGTGTGTGTCTGTATGGATCAGCTCCAATTTAGAACATGAATACACTAAAAACTTGCAGCACACTTTGTATTATAATGTAAATTTTCAATTTATTTCAAAAGTTTCGAATATTATGCGGAAGTAATTTCGTTGCGCAGAGAAAATTGAAATTGTTTTTGGTATGTGTATCGTTTGATCGACATTTCAAAATATCTTCATCAAAACTTCAAAATGAAGAGCTGTCCAACAATTAATATCGAATTAAAGTATCCAAAGTGTGTGTAGCTTACCATCATTCAACCGAATTCGTTGTATCTTAAGACGTAATTTTAGCCATAAACCTACTAACCTTTTCTCCAAATGCTTTCCACAAAACTTTTCACCAAATGGATATTTAATTGAGGAAGTATTTGCCTAATGGCATCTTAAAGATTTTTGATGAGAGCATATTATTTTTATTCGCAAGCCTGATGTACGGCTTCCAACTTGGTAGTGTCAACTAACAAAAACCTTGTAAGAACAATGTGATTGTTGGCATATTCTGAAATGACACACAGAGAAACAGAGTTAAAAATAGACGAGTTAAAGTGTGATTGTATAGAAAGTGATAAATCGGTAGTCCATTCTCCAAAAAATGACAACTGACTCTGAATTCATTCACATATTCATATCTGTAGCTTATGTTCGCCACACATAAAAATGTTACGGGGGCGGGAAATAACAGATATAATGCAATGCATTCCATTTTCTATACGTGCACGTAATTATGGAAATATGTATGTATGGCACACTGGTGTTGTCTTCCCCAAAATATCTACCAAACGCTTGGATTTATATATCTTGGCGAGATCGTAAAGAATTGTGTCTCTTCATTCGTCGCAGTTAAATTTATTTCGTATTGAACAAAAGACCGAAACTTTTCTGCCGCTATAAAACATTTGAATGGCATACACATTAGGTTTGATGATCGAAAATACTGTTTCATTTCCGCGAATTTATCATTGAGTGCTTTTTCAACTCTAACATTCGTATACACACATACAAAACACAAACCAACAAAAAAAATCTTTTGTGTGCGAAATATTCATCAGTATGAAAGCCGTTGTGCATACGGAACATATTCCATTCGTTTCACATATTTTGCAGCAAACTAAACGAATATGGTTCAACAATAAAATTGCGCACATTTAGCTATTCACCGGTTTTATATACATTTCGATTTTTCATAGCCTATGGAATCGTCTACTTTATTTGTTGGAGTGCGCGCCAAACAATACAATATTATTAAGTCAGATTGTTTTTTATTTTCGAGATTCTCATTCACTCGTTACACATTTTGGGGAGAGAGGTACAAAACGCATGACAACAACCAAGTCGTATGTACTTACACAACGTAATATGTAATAATAAAAATATAATATATTATTTATCACCCCGGTAAAAACGTATAAATCAAATAAAGTACCTGCTCACATGTTACCCAACCATTTTTCGGTGCAAAAGCAACTTCATCCATAGCCAACATCGCATTTTGTAACCCTTGTGCGAATTGGAAGACCAAATGATATAGAAGAGAAACAAAAATATTGTCTTTCATTTTCATGAACTTAATTTGTGCAGCAAAACACTCGTAACAATTTGCCATGGACAGAGTTTGTTTAACCACTTACATTTTTGCCTACATCCCAATTGATACGAATTTTATTCGATCCGATTTTTTACCGGTTATTACCAGCGGTTGTTACTATATCTATAGCTGTACCAAAGATTCAAGCAAATAAAACTTGTGTCGATTTTATGAAGTGCGGTGTAAATGCTTGCGGCTACTTACCTCTACTGTAAATGTTTCAACTAAAAAATAAACCAGTGCTCGACAAATAAAACCACTTTCCAACCTGTGTGAGTCCATCTATGATGCTACGTATGTGTCCTGTAAGTGCTTGGCTCAATGTCTACTGCTTACCACAGTTACACATCATTAATTCATAGTATTTTGACACAATACAAAAATGCCCAAAGTCGAAATGAAGACTTTGCACAAGTTTTGCATTTCGATTTTCAACCAACCGAAGATTATGTACTTTGCATATTTCATGGTTTTCACAAGCCGGCACCATCCAATTAAACAGATATACCATTTGAATAGAGTCGGATTGTTTGCTCTTTAGATACTGCATGATGAATGAATTGTTCCAACCGATTTATTTACCGAATTTGAACCAGATCTATTGGGGCTTTTGCAGATTTTCACAAATTCATGCGTCATACGATCCATTTTAATTACTATGCCATTTCAGCACATTTTACCACTTCGATTGATTGCCGTACAGAGAGTAACTTACCCAAGAATCTACCACATTTTGATTTACTCACCACCATCCGGCCCTCAGGGGATGTTCCACTTCTATAAATTTCTAGTAAGAAAAAAGCTCACACATTTACTTTGAACATGTTTTTTAGTTTATTATACATTAGATATCATAAATACATCATTCAATTAGCCCGATTCTCTAATCAAACAATATTCCATCCATAAATTGGAGTATTTTTCCAATATCTTTCTTTGAACCTATCGTTTATGTCAATTTTTTTTCAATGTTGACAGAATAAAATGGCTAAATTAGTTAAATAATCCATTGTTCAGAGATTTTATTTGTATAAAAAGAAATCCATTTTCCAATTTTGTTTAAAATGTCGCATTCTGTGACGTTTGACAACTAAAATTTAGTTACAATTATGTTACAGTACAATTTTTATTCTTTGCGCTAAGACAAATGACACAATTATGATTTGCTTTGAATTTTGTTGATTATGAACAATCTTTATATATTGAAACTCACAAAACACCTGTATGTATATACCATCACAATTGCATGTGTGTCGTTTTAAATCTATTCAACACATACTCTTGTATGTACCTGTGTACACCGCTATGCAAGAACAAAATATACGCTCTAGCACAGCAAATACGATTTTGAAAGACTGATTACATTTCGATTTGATGCAATTCAATACGATTTCAGAGGATTTTTGGTTTTCGAAAGAACATTGTATTGCATAATAAAATGTAGGAAGTAACCGATTGAATTTGGAAGAGTTCATCTGTCGACGCTTCAAAGCGATTCCCCTTTGTATTTGATTCCTACAAATCATTTCGCCACAAAATCAAAAGCTGAAAAAATGCAGAAGTATCAGGTATCCAGGCAACATACAAAGTCATTACATAATTTTGCCTAATCGTCTTATACGCGTATAATATAATCTTCTTTTATATTTACACTAGGCTTTCGATCAATACATTCCTTTGATCAGGGTGCTTTCTTTAAATGTTTATGTTTTTTCAATTCAACTAGTTGTTCCATACTGAATTCATTTCATTTTTCAATCGTAATTTTGTCTTGACATTAAATTTTGATTACTAGTAGCAGTAAAATGTTATTAGTGTTGTAAATGACAGTCTAATTAAATGATTTGATGTTTCTATTTTAAATAAACACTTTTATCGTCTAGTTATTTGTAATTACTTGGCTTTACTAAGCGGTTTAATGTGATTTTTTTTGTTTCAATTTTTTTAATTTTTTTTATTCGTTTAGTAAATATGGTACACATTCAATCGGAATCAATAATTTTTTTTCAATTACTGACAAAATGTATCGTCGCATTCAATAAACACGTACATAGTATTTGAATTATCTAGAGCCATTTAACGATATTATCCAATTATTTGTGTTCTAAATCTGTTACATTTCATAATACAATTATTGGTTCAGAGGTTTTGTTGATTTTATTAATCAGCTTTTCGGAATTTTTGCGTGTGTTTTTGGTATTACCAACACACCAATACCCAAAAGCGAAAATTTAATCATTGTTTTTTGTCTCTTACACATATAATTTTATGTTATTTTTATATCCTTCTCCAAATTAACACTTTATTTCCTATTTTTTTTGTAGTTTTAAATATTCATTAAATAAATACTTTATTAATTTGGTACAATTTCCCATAAAATATAAAACAATCTTCACATATTTAAGTTTGAATTTAGTCTGGTTTCACTTGATTGGTATGTTAAGTACAGAATACTGATTTTCGTAGAGATAAAGTGCAAATATAGTTCAAATTGTGCGAGATGATCAGTTTACGAGCCATTTCAATGCTTAATGGAAATTTTCACCGATAACGATGCGATGGTAATGTAACACCGTTCTTATATTGTAAAATATTTGTTTTGGTGAATGTATATGTGTTATTTGTAATATTCATTGGCTTTTCGCTTACGCGTTCCCTTAAAAGCCTTGGTCGATTGCACATATAAATGAATCAAAACGAAACAATACCCATTTAATATATAACAACATTCACGTATCATATTTTGGATTTTTTTTTATTTTATTCGATTTACCTCGAATGTAGGATTGGTTGCTATTTTTTTGTTGTATTTATGTTGCCATTCCAGGCAATTTCATTAATTATTTCGAAATCACTTTGATACAATAATAATTAGTAAGTAATTAGCCAGCAGCTGGTTTGCATGCTTGTTACTAATTACGTTGCATTGTAAAAATCATGAACAACTTTGGAATGTCATGAATTTATTGCGTTCAGTCTCTATTTCCGTCGTATTTCTATCGTAATTCCATTAAATTTCATATCGGCTTTGACTTTTTCATAATTTTCATGCATGTGGTAGGTTTTCACCGAGCAAAAACTCAGTCACGTCTGTGTGTTTACACAGAAACGGTTGCAGGAAATATTGATTTTTTTTACTGTTCTTTTGCGTTTGTTTATTTCGAGCATTTTCTGTATTCAGATATGTCATTATTTTGATGCATTTCCGAACTCAATGTAAATAATCACAAAATGCAATCAAGCATCAATTGATGACGATTTGAAAGCCGAAAATCAATTCAGATTTAATTCAATTTTGTATCCATATGCAAAAGGGGGATAAAAAGGCCACCAATTTTTTTGTTTATTTTCTCTTTCCAATCAAACGAGAATAAAAATAAATCACTTTTAATCAAAAAAATATATCAATCGATTTTTCTTAGCTTATAGAGTTACATGACAAAACTTTTTTTTTGTTTTATTTTCAATTTATTTATGCTAAATTAATAAGCTTTAAATCCAAAATCAACGTCGAAATGAAAATGCTGTGAATATGCATGAGAATAAAATATTTGTTACAAAATCAATAATAATAATTGTTCATGTTGAGAAGAAAGAAGATGAATTTCATTTTAAAAAATGGACAATTGGCCGAAGCATCATAGAAAATTGTCTTGCTGTTGATTGTATCCCGCCGATAGAAAACTAAATGATGGTGATGTTCGTACGACTGATTGTCGTGGTTTACAATTCATGCCGCCATCATTTTCCATAACTTTGGTGACGGGATTCATTTGTAGTGTTGATGTCATTTTCGATGAATTTGTTTTGGTAAAATGTTTGCCACCGCTGTAGTTTGTATTTAGAATGGCCGATGCTGGTGTCAATTCATAAATATTTGTGGTTCGATGTGGATTTGATGGTGTTAGTTTATTTGATGCAATGGCCGTTGCTGTTGTTGTTGGTGATGGTGAATTTAATTTTGCATATGATTTGCTTGTTTTTGTCATGACATTATCGTTATGATAAATTCGTAGGTCGGGCTCTTCGATCGGCGTATGACGTACAAATAGCTGCATATCACTTTCATCATCATCGTCATCTAAATGTTCGCTCAGTCTATCGTCGGTGTATGCGAAAGCATAACGATTGCTGCTTCCACCGCTGCTGATGCTGTTGTTGTTATTATTATTTCCACTATGTGTTTGAATTCGATGGTCCAAGATTGCTGTCGATGTACTGCTACCCGTGCTACTGCTGCTACTGTTCTTTAAACTACTTTGTAAAACTAGTGATTGATGTTGGCCATATGGTAGGAGATCGGGTGGAAGACGTGAGTCTGTGTGATGCCGTTGCATGGTTTGGTATTGATGATGGTGCGATTGTTCATTGGCGGACGCAAACATTTGACGACTCGTCGGTGATCCAATGACACCGCTTGACGTTGACACAATCTGATGCAATCGAACATCTACAAGCGTTTTAAAGATGATGGAAGAAAAAAAAAAACAAAACGGAGAAGGTGAGAGCGAGATAGAGAGGAAATTGCACATGATTAAAACCAATTTAAATTTCCACTTTACTTTTGGATTTTGTGAAATTATTTTATTATATGAATCGTTGCGGCGAAACAGTAGCTCTTATTTTTCTCCAAATAATACTGCAACATAAAGTTTTTTATGAATAGTTTATTTGTTGTATTACAACAAATAAACCGTGTGAAAAAAACTTCATGTTGCAGTATTATTTGGAGAAAAATAAGAGCTACTGTTTCGCCGCAACGATTCATATAAGCTTCTGCAGTATAGAGTACATGTTTGTGTTGAATCACATCGAAAGAGAGAGATGAGAGAGAAAGGAAAGAATGGAACTAGTTTAAATTTTCAATCAACGCCACGAATCTGCATAAGAGTGTGCGGTTTGCATATTTAATTTCTGGTGCGCTTCATGATTCGATTAAAATTTAATTTTCTCACAGCAAATATGTGAAGCTGAAATATGCATGCATGTATTTGTGTGTGTTTGCATCTTTGGAAAATCTGCTGTTGTCTCTTTTTTTCCCTTCTTTCGTTCGCGTGTGTTTGGCTTTTGGGGAAAACTGTTTCTGATTACTTTGCCATGTAAACTATTATGCACCACTTGAATCGATGCAATCTATTGAAGGCTTTGGAACTGATTCGCATGTAAAATTAATTTTGAAAATCGGTTTAATAAGTTACATGTAGCGCTTTCACTTTACTTCACATAATGATCGATTTTATTTTTAAATTTTAATTCACTTCTGCTCGATTGTCGGGTTCGCGGTAATTTCCGACCTATAATTGAAAAACATGAAGTTTTAACCACATAAAGCGAAATTCTATATGAATTATTTTAAATGAGTTCAACCATTTCGGAAGCATAATTATTGAGATTTTGGCGTAAATTAACCACGCTTATTTAAAAATTGAAAGCCAAAATCGCTTGAATCCGATCAAAGTAATTTGATATGGGTTTGTGTTATCTTTAAACCCTTTAATCGCAACAAATCAATTAGTTCCGCGCTGTTAAAATTACTTCAAATGCACTGTACACACTGTGTATATAACATTTTCATGCGCGTACACAAACATGTTGCACTAATTAGGCGGCAATAACAATAAACGCTTTATTTCTATATTTTTCTTTCTTCTGGTTATTTTATATTTTAATAAAATTTTCACTGCCGACGATAAAACAGAACAGAGACTGTTCGATGGTTATAAGCCAATAAAATGGTAATTATTAATGTGTAGCGAACTCATGGATTGAAACTCTTCGTAAAGCTCACATACACATACACGCGGCCTACTTTCTAATTGAATTTTCGACGAAATGAAAATATTTTGTTGCTATCAGCGATAGCATAATTCCAACTGTATCAATAAAAGCTTATTATTATTGGTTTGGTAAATGGAGCGCCACCAATTTAACAATGAATGCCAATTTCACTCAAACCGACCCCAAACGAGTTGTGGTATACACAAAAAGTGCCTCAAAGTAATAGTGGTATCCAATCAAAATTGTGTGTTGATTTTCGTTCGTACATGTACAAAACGAATATTAATTTTGTTTTTCTTTTCACCTTACCTGATGTATCCAATTTTTTCTCCGTTTGACTGATGTGTGATTTAGCTGAATTGTGTGTATCGGCTCGTATTGTGTCCGATTTAATGTTTGTATGATTGAATTCAATCGAAGCGGCAAATTTGTCGATTTCAGTGTCGTTGGTAATTTTGATGCCACCGTTTTTATTTGCTATCACATTGGCATCGGTATCATCGTCAATGCCACTAATAACCATTGTATTGCCCACAATACAGCTTCCGTTCCCAATCATAGTGGCATTATTAAACGAATTCAATTTAATCGCTTGAAAATGTTTTTTACCATTGGTCGCATTGAGCGTACCATCGCCACCAATGCTGATACCATTGATGCCATCATCCAAATCATGTTTAATGAGATTTTTGAATTTGCGACAATAGCAACAGGTAACGATCATAATAACCAAAGAGACAATTAATAGACCCACGGCCATTAAACACAACACAAAAAGCATTTGATTCGTTATAAATAGCATTCCGTTACCGTCACGTCCCACCAACAATTGTATATCGATATCAACTTTGCCGCCAACATTATGTGCGGCACACGTATAGACACCTTCATCGGTGCGACGTGCACCGATGATTGTCAATTCGGATGTGATAATTTCACTTGAATCTTGAGCACTCGACGATTCCGATAGGTTTTTTATGAATATACGCTTTGGATAATTGTTTAGCGCATGTTTATTATACGTCCATGTAATGATAGTGTTTGGTGATGCCTGAATTCGACACGTTATCGTTGCATTTTCACTAAACGAACTAATTGTTGCGTCGCCGATTAATGGATACACAATTTTCGGTTGACATGCAAACGCTTCGAGTGGCACATCAGTCCATAGTGTGCCGCGTAAATTTTCCGGATAATAGCAATCGGTTGGTGGTGTATACAATCGTTGGTCAATTGCAAATCTTCGAAATGGATTCAATTCACATGTACAATTCCATGGATTTTGTTTCAATGACAAACCGGTCAATTTTTCCAAATGTTGAAAGCATTCGCGTCGCAATACGGTCAATTGATTTCCATCCAAATAGATTTGCGTTAGAAGTGGTAAATTTGTAAACGCTTTCGTTTCAATATGCATCAAATGATTATCTTTCAATTCGATTTTATGCAAAAATTTTAAATTACGAAATAGACCGTCCTCTAAACGCTTTAATTTATTATTGTTGAGCATGAGGGCTCGCAATTTAACTAAATTATTGAATACACTACGCGGTAACACCTCTAATAGATTATATGATAGATCCAATTCAATTAAAATTTCTAAACCTTTTAAACTGTCTCGATTGATTTGTTTTAGTGTGGCATTTCGGACAAATAGCTTGTGTAAATTTCGTAAATTGGCCATTGCAAATTCGGATGATACGATTTCCGGTATAAAATTATTGGACAGATCGAGCACTTGTAATTCAACACTCAATACGGTTGGCACCCGTGTCATTGCCGTATTCTTACAATCGGCCGTCTTTTTACCCGAATTCCATTTGCATTTGCATACACTACACTCCGTCAGCCAATCGCTGGTCTGAGCATATGACGGCATCGTCATCAATAACACAGCACATACACTTAAAGTTCGTAGAAATATATTCATTTTGGTAACATTTGCATATGAGCTCGTCTTTCAATTTTTTCCAATAACACACAGAGAGATTTGTTTTATCACCCTTTCTTTTTCCTTAACACTTTGTTTTTCTTCGAAAGTTGTTTTTTATGAAACACCTCACATTTTTGTACATTTTCGTCGTACTTTTGTTTTTGTTTTTGCTTATGTAAATTGTGGGTCTGTAGACGATGATAAAATCGATTCGGTAAACCAGGAACAAGCGTCTCTCTTTCGTTGCCGTTGCAGAATATTTACATAGAACCTGAAATTGAAACAAAAGAATAAATTAGTGCCGATGCCGGAGAACAGGTAAATTATATTTTCGAAAACTATTTTATAGTCAAAGTGTGTCATTGAACACATCGAAACAAAACCCAATATCATTAAATAACATCGAAAAACTTTTGCTACATTTCAAAAGGTGATTGGTTGCTTTGTTGAAAATAAAACAAAAACCAGGACGTATCCGAAAAATAATAAATATTTGGCCTTCAAAAACATAACCCAGTAATCCCAAAATAATCATATATACTTTATTACAATAGACTAATTACGGCTGCTTTCAAGTAAATTTCAGTATCTATAAACGAAATAACAAATTATAATCAATTCAAGTGGATATGATTACAAATTTCTATTTATGCCCGTTCAAATTTATTTGATGGCAATCTCTTATTACACCTCATGTTTAATTCACAACAGTTGTAATCAAAATCAAAACTCCCTCTGATTTGAATGTATTCAAGTAAAAACGATCATATTTATCATTTGGGATAACAATGGAAGGTAGGAAACACTTTTGGTATTTAAGTATATTGAACAGTGTAACTAATAATTACTTTGTCGAGTCATTGTCAATCAAAGTACTTTTGTTGCTATCTTGGTCCCTTGAACAATCAAATTAAATAACAATATAATCCATCGAGAGGGAAAAAAACCATCGACATAAATTCATAGAAACGGAATCGATTCAAACGAAATCATCTATATTAATTCTTAATCGATATTATTAAAATCACTCATTTCGAATCTGATTTCCTACTCATGTTGAATATTGTGTTGTATGTTGGATTTAACGTCAACACGTGACGTTTGTCCATCAAATGTGATAACAGCGATTCATCTCAACCTGATATAAATTGTTACCGATGAAGTATAATGTTTGGTTTCAATTTACTTTCTTGAAATTATTCTCGGATGTGTCGCTGTGAGCGGTCACATCTTCAATGATTCAATTGGGTGCTCCATTCATCGCAGCAATCATCATATCTTTCATGTTTCTGTCTCTCCCATGTAAAATGTCCATATAATTAATCACAGCAAACAAATGGCATCACGTTGTGAATGATTACAAGAACCGAACAAAGGAGAAGCAGATTTCATTGACAGTTTGGTCATGTTATTTATTTTGGTTGTTCATCTTCTTTTCTTTGATAAATAATTGCTCTATCTCTCTACATATACTGTCCATTAGGCCGAAATTCGGTCATCAAATGAGATGATATTAAATTATTATATAGGCAACAGAAGGATATACAAATGTTATATGTTTGTATTGTGACAAGTGGCGTACAGAATATCGGGAAAGTTCTTTTTTCTCCATAATTGTGATTAAATTTGGGGCGATAAATGCTCGTGACATTGAATGAACTCATTCGAAAATAAACATCTTGCAAAGCATCAAAATTTGCCATGTAATTTGATGAACCATATAAAATTCATATTGATGGAAGGTTTTATTATGTAATCAAGGTACGTGCCGGTCCCAAGATAAAACATTGAAATGTTATTTCGAATTTATTCATAAAATCAAGTATTTTATCTATCATTTCTTTTCTTCCCATCTCTACAGCTAACAGCTACGCCATTCTAATGATAACACACATCGAATGGATCCCGGATGGATTCGATCCAAATGGAACGGGAGAGAAAAATGCACAGCACTAGAATAAATATAAAATATAAGCTTTTATTCGTTCGATATTCAAGCGTATTCTAAGCATTCTGTGCGAATCTGTGTCAGTAGTGTGCAATTTGCATAGACATGCCCCAAAAAACACCTACCGCTCAATCATGCTGACTTAAAATGATGAGTCCGATATCCAGCTGTGGTTTGAAATTCATGTTTTGTAAATTATTATTATTTTTTTGCTCATTGAAATGCATCATTTTTCAGTGGCTTTCCAGCATTCGAATTGAAAGGTATATGGTGCACTTTTCTTGAGGTAAATAAGCCGAAGTAATTTTTATTCTACTTTTTCTCATAAATCTCATCTGCTGATTTCGAAAGAATGGACAGAGAGAATTCAATCTGAAATATTGCTTGAGGAAATTGCGTCGATGCCAAAATCATTTCTTTTCTTTCTACAGTTACTTTGTGCTACTTGGGCATGGTTCAATATTTTAAGTGGATTTCTTTTGTATGCTGTACAATCAAGCATTTGAAAAAGAGAAATATCTTTTGCTTTTTTTCCGTTCTTTTTCTCACATTTTATCCGCGTGCCTGCTGCGATTTCAAAGAATTTTCCATGCTTTTGGCGTAGAAAGAGATTCAACGCAAATGAAAAGGTTTCATGGGTCATTTTATATTCATTTTTCAAATGATGATGATGATTATTTGGCCATTTTTACTATATCGATTCTATCGTTCTCTAAATGCCCGTAGCCGTTTGCCCACTTTGTATATCGTCGTCCAATCAATTTACCGATTTCTTTTAAAAAACTGACGTTTTTCATGCAAAACCTCTTTCTACCCCGTTTTTTCCTCTACACCAGTTTTTTTATGGCTTTGCTCAACACACCGGAAATCATCACAACAAAAAAACGAACTTATTTAAATGCTATATGGCATACGTGGATCAAGTTCACTGACGTTTGAAACAAACATAAAATGGAAAAACAAATGGTAAATTGCGCCAAAATAATCTCATCGAGAATTGTGAGAATGCAAATGAACATGATGTGGAAGGGCCACGAAAAAAGAAAATTATGCAAAGGGTGATTGTGATGCTTGTGTGTGTGTGTGCGCGCCATTCGCTCTCATTATGCATTCCATTTGAAGCGGTTCGATTTTTTCTAGCTTCAGGGAACGTGAATACAAATTAAACTTCATTCAATCATTCGAACGAATCGGCTAGATTTTTCTTCATGAAAGTAAAATTGAAGTGAACATTTTCTTTGTATGCGCATCGATTTCAATGATAAAGCCAATGCAAATACCCTTGATGCCAAATGAATTAAGATTGGAAAAAGTACAAGCATTCGTTACATACACAAACACACAAAAGTCTTGAATTGAAGTATGATTAAAGCTCTCCATTTCAATACTGCTAATGGATGTAAAGCAAATTAGTTTGATTCGTAGTGAAAATGCCACAAAAGGATTCAATGAAAACAGTAATCGTCTTCAGTCGATTCACAGCTAAAGCGCGTAATTCCCACTTTGATTCTCATTACAAACATCTCATCGGAGATTCTTTTCTATATGCACAGATGGAATCTCCCTTTGTTTCAACGTGTTTTTTTTTTGTTTCTGCGTTTTTCTTCAACGAATGTTTGCCTTTTGCTTGAACATCTATTGTGTACACGGTTCTTTGTGTGTGTGTGTGAAGGAACGTTCGAAGGGTACTTGAGATGGATTTACGAATTCCACGGTTTGGTTTACATTTTCGAACTCTCGAGACCAATGCAAACAAATCGCGGAAAGTTATTCTCGAATGAACACAAACTAGATAGAATGAACGCAAAAAACAAGAAATAAAAAACAAATCGAAAACGAGGGAATGAGTGAGCATCCCCGAACAAAATGAACAATCAGATGATTCATTTGAGTGGCAGAGCACATCGTTCGTTGATTTATTTGATAATGTGCAGATTTATTTCCTGAAACGGCCACAATGTAAATGGTTTGAAATGCCTGCAGCATAAGAGCAAACAAAGTGCATACTAATCAGATGATGGGGAAACATAAGGCTCGATGCTTATCAAAGACCGCAGACCGGCACTTACAATCAACAATGGCGTACAGTGGGAAGGAATAAAGCATAAAAGTAATCCTTTTTGACAGAATGAACAATATGGCCTTTTGTAAGTGTGTTCACCATAATAGCGATTTGTTTTTGTTCTTTCGTTTTTGAGTCGTTTTTTGTTTGATATAGTGAAATAGAACCGTTTTTCAAACTCAATATTATTAAAATTCGCAAGGCGCTTATTTGTTACACAAGAACAATTTCTGGAATTTTTTTAATGCAAAATAGGAGCAAAAAAATGTTGCGATAGTTCAAATTGCGATGAAGACAGTAGAATAACCACGTGCTCTTGCGTGCGTGTTTCAATACACATTGAAATGGGATAGGTTTGCTTTGCTAATGACGCGACGCTTATATATATGTTTGCGTGCCTCAAACACGACACAATAACGATGGCGTTCAAATATAAAAAATTGCAGTGCACAAAAAAATGTATATAATACACGTCAAAAAGGTTAAAAACACTGGTGTGTGTGTATATGGCTCGTTACCCTTCAAAAACAATGAGCAATATTAATCAGACCATACATCATAGAAGCAACGAACATTCAGTTTTCTTGTCCTCTTTTCCTTACATATGTTTATATTAAACTTGAGCCTACTGACTCTTGACTTCTACCCAACACCATCTTGACTTGGCAGCTATTGTTTTGCTTTTCAATCGGTCTTCATTCACATTGATGTATCTTTTAACGTCATTTCAAATATAAAAATTGTAGACAACAAATCTTTTATTAATTACGTGGCATTTTTGAATGTATATTTTAAAAAAAATTCGAAATTTTTTTTTTTCAATCATCTCATTCAACTCCAAAGTATACCACAATTCAAAAAAAGTGTAGCTCTAAGTTGAAAGAAATATTCATGGGTCAGTATTTCTGTATATTCAACTTGCCGCTAGACTTCACTAACACGGAAACTATTTTTAGCCTCCACGTTTTTATAGTCCTAATCAAGTCTACTCTTCGATATTAATATTCGTTGCATGAACTTCGTTGTGATTCTTATCTATTCGACTCATTTGATTCGTTTATAAAAATTCGTTTCACTGCTAAACATTACCGATTACGTACATTTGTTTGTTTTTCCAATAATTTTTGATTAGTATTTATTATATTTTTGTTGATAAACAGACAAACAAACATCAAGATGTAACAAATTTAATATAAATCACAATGGCAGTGTGCGGAAGATGCTCGACATTTTTTTCCTTCTCTACACGTCACAAGAACTG